AAAAGTAAGATCAAATTCAGCTTCTTCCTAATTATGTGATGTGACAGAAGTGTTAGCTAACACTACAACAGCAATCACATTGCACTATAAATGTATCAAATCAATGTTGTACAACTTAGACTTACACAATGTTATATGGCAATTATATCTGAATTTTTAAATATTTAACTTCTTCCAAAACCAGCTGAGGAGCAAAGAACTCTCATAAACTTATCCAGAAATAATTATTCAGACAAGACTTGGCTTAACACAAAATCATCAAGGATCAACCAATCAACAAAGAACTGCCTCATTCCAAACTCATCCCAAAACAGCTGTTAGTTCAAGATCTAGTGCTAAACAAATTCTTCTGAAATCAACTTGTCAGAGAAGAGTTTCCTTGTCCAAAGATCATCCATGGGTACTGTTTAGCTAGAACCTGGCTCTACACAAATTCATCAAAGACAAGCTGATCTGAAAATTACTCTCCTGTTCAAACAAGCTATTCAGCAAGGAGCTACCACAAACAAACTCATCTGAAACATGGAAATATACAAAGAGCTGCACCATCGAAATTTCTTCTAAAAAGAGCTGCCTCTATCAAACTCACCTAAAACCAACTTATCAGAAAGATACTTCCCTGTCCAAAGTTGGTCCAAAAACATGTGTTCAGTTAAGCCCTGGATAGGTATTTAAGAATAACTAATGAGAAAAGAGCTAAACCATCTAAAATGTATACCAAAAAAAAATACTTGTTTAATCAGGTGTTGCCTTTCCACATAATCATCCAAGATCAGCTATTAAACCAAGAATTGTCTCATCCAAAACTCCTCTTAAAACAGCTATTCAATCCTGAAATACCAATCAGAAAGCTGATATGCACCCATATGTACATTGCAGCGCTTTTTACAATAGCTAAGATCTGGAAACAGCCCAAGTGCCCATCAGTAGATGAGTGTATCTACTGTGGTACATTTACACAATGGAATACTATGCAGCTGTAAGGAAGAAAGATCTCTTATCCTTTGAGACAACATGGAGGGTCCTGGAGAGTATTATGCTAAGTGAAATAAGCCAGTCAAAGAAAGACAAGTATCACATGATCTCACTTATATGTGGAATCTAATGAACAAAATAGACTGAGGAACTAATTAGGTCCAGAGCATGGAAGCATGGACCAGACTGACAAATCTCAGAGGGAAGGGAGTGGGGGTGGGAAGAGAGTAACCAAATAATTTATATGCATGTATGCATAATCCATGGACACGGACAATAGTGCCGTGAAGACCTGGGAGGGGAGTAAGGAGGAGGATGTCAATGAGGAAAAAAGGGGAGACATTTGTAATACTTTCAATAATAAAGATAAATAAAATAAAAAACAAAGTTATTCAATCAGGAGCTCACTCTCTAAAAATTCATAGAAAACTCCATAATCAATCAAAATCTCATCTGTCAAAATATTTTCTAAAAGCTGCTACTCATTAAAAAAAAAAAAAAAAAAAACTCATATATCTCAATTTAGTTCAAAATCTTGTCCAAATCTACCTCAAAAAATATCTGATAACGACAACTTCATCCAAATCCACTATCAACAAGTCTTGTACAAACTCAACCTAATCAAAATTAATTTTTCCCTTATGTGCTCCTCTATCCAAACCCACATTCAGATTTTTTTTTTTTCAAGCTCTCACCCTCAAACAAAACAACTGCTATAACTTTCGCTGTCCCTGCTGACGCTACTTTGAAAGCAACGTCCACTACCACCACCACACCTGCCACTCCAGCTACAATCCCCACATCTAAGCACAAAACACAGCATTCCACGCTGCAGCAGCCGGGAAACTGGCACCTACATCAAGAACTGTGAAACAAAAGCATCTCCCTGTGATGGCACCCAACCTTGCACTGACTCTGTTTAACTCTGCAACACAGACTCTCCTTATGGCACCACAGAATCATATGCTGACCTTTCATTTGACATGAAACAATGTATTTTCCTGATAACATCTACAAAACTGAAAGTAACTACCCAATTGGCAGTATTGTATTAACTCTGAATCTACATAAATTCCCAGTAGCATTCCAGAACCTTATCTACACCATCATACCATCATCCAAACACTGAAGTCATGAGCTAACCCCACACCAGTACTGCTCTCTTATCCCTCGTCTCAGTATCCTCATTAGTAGCTGTTTGCAGGACAATCTTTCTCAATTTGAAAAATCACCTACAACCAAGCTTATTTTTTTCAACCTGTGTGTGTGTACTTTTAATAGTTGAAATTTTTCTACATAAGTACAGTGCAATGTTACTACAATCTAGGAAACCCCTAAGGTTCTCTAGTACACATTGTATGAGACATATGTGCATTTTTCTGAGGAGATGGTGTATAGATTCAGCCAGATTCTCAAAAGGGTGCATAACCTGAAGAATCTTAAAACTAAAACCAATATGAAGGATTAAGAAATGTCTAGATCTACGGGGCTAAGAGATCCCCCCTATAGTCCATAAAACACTTTAATGAACCCTGATATCCTAAATCATTTCAAAAAAATAAACTGCTTCACTGTTTTTGCTGATGTCTCTTGGTTTTAGAATGATTTAAAATTTTTCCCTTGTATAGTACATATTTCTTGACACCCAACTCCATAATTATATTATTGCAAGTTATCTGCTTTCAAACTTAAAATTCCTTATCTAAGTAATTACTCTTAATTTCCCGTTTCTTTTGGCCATATCCCACTGCCTGCTAAGTTTCCAAGTAATTGCCTTCTTAATTTCCCCTGTTTATTTTGGCCATATCTCACTGCCTACTAAGTTTTCAAGGTAGGGTGTGTCTCATTCCAGCTTGGGGTTGGAATCTTGTCTGCAACAGGCAATCCATGCACAGCCTGTCTCTGAGTCACCTGACGTCCAGACGGTCACAAACAGTGAGTCAGTGCAAATGAGCTATTCACTCACGCTGTACAGGCTGGCGATAGAACACAAGTCTCCTCACCTAAGCCCAAGAACAACAGTGGCCTAGAACTCGATTCTGCCTCCACCCACACACAAAATAACTTAAGCCCCTCCATCTACACAATGGTTGAAAATAACGCCTAGAGGAAAGTGGGCTCCCCAGAGTCACAGGCTCCCTTCCACACAAAATGAGGCTTGAATATTTAATGTTCTTCCTACCAAAGTATAAACTCTGTAAGGGCAGGGATCTGGGCCTTTCTATTCACTGTTTTATTCCCAAGGACAGAAACAATGCTAATAGCACACAGAGTTAATATATGTTAAATGATGGGTGGGAAGAATGAACTGACTGAATAAAAGAATGAATGAATGTGCCTATGAAAGCTAGTTGCTTCCCTTTCACATCCTTCATCATTTATGTTCTGTTGCTCCTCTCAATATTCACCCTTTCCCATGCTGTTCCCTGTGCTGGCCATCATATTTCATCTCCATCAAAGCCCCATCTTTTCTCTGGAGTCCTCCCTCAGCACACCTCCCTGTAGTGTATGCCTCTACCATGTATTCATCAGCATGCAAAGACTATCTGGTGCTGTGCAATGTCAAAGTTATTAACAGAAAAGGCACAGAAGAAATATAAGACAAGGTCCCAAGTACCCCCCATCTAGTTCAAGGGAAACGTACAATAGGAAAATAATGAAGGAGCCATATAAATTGATGTTTGATCAAGAGCTAAAATGAGTAATAGAAACAAACAAAAAAAATACTACAGGTGATTAAAATTAGGTCTCTCTCCAAGCCTGTCTTCCAGTGCCACCTTCACCCCACTTCGTTCCAGTGCCGCCTTCACCCCACTTCGTTCCAGTGCCGCCTTCACCCCACTTCGTTCCAGTGCCGCCTTCACCCCATTTCGTTCCAGTGCTGCCTTCACCCCACTTTGTTCCAGTGCTGCCTTCACCCCACTTTGTTCCAGCGACGAGCAACAATAACATCACTTCTTCATATCCAGACGTTGGTCTTCCTGGATGTTCTCCTTGAATTCTTCATGAATTTCTTTTTATTCTTCAAAGTCCAGCTCAAGTGTCAACTCTTCTAGAAGCCTTTTCTACCCTCTGCCCCCAAAAAATTAATCACACTCTCCTCATGCCTGTATATACTCCTAGTATTATATTTACCAAGCATATAATTCTGTTAGCCATTTTATTTCCCCTCTTATTTATTGAATTGTACAACATATGTATCCTTCAATACAATACTCTTAGAAATAATACCTACAGAAATACCTCCACATCTGTGAAAAAAATATCTAGGAGAATATTCACTGTACCACTTCTATAATTATAAAATAAAATGAAAATGAATTAAAATAATTATAAAATAAAAAGGAAATGTAATATAATGTAATATACCTATTATATACATGAAATAAATCTATATGTACAGACACATAAAGTTGTTCATTATTTATTACATAAATGAAATAACTTGCAGAGCGATATGCACAATAGGCCTCATTTTTAACATGCAGATATATTTTAATGTTTGATTTATATGTTCGTGCATACATGATAAAACAGGTACATCTGGAAAGTCATTTGGGAAGGAGATGAAGGTGAAGGAGGATTTTTTTTTAATTGTCTGTACTTTTTTTTTAATTACACAAGGCATTTCTTCCTGAAATACCCTCTATTCAAATGGTAGACATTGGGTAATATGACGTCTGCAGCTAATAACTCACCTAATGAAGAGTTAGAAAATGAAAGAAACCAAATGACTTCACACCTGAGTCCTGATTGGTCTCTCAGTTGCCAACCTTCTGGAGCTCAGTTTAAATTCCTTCTACAATCTCACAACTCATCAAAGGGTAAAATTTTTCACCACAGGAACTGAAGAAGTCAACTGGACTTTGAAGGTTGGTTCACCTGTACATTTTGCCTAGTGGAGAGAAAGGTAACATTAATTGACCATGTTTCGCACAGAACGTTCTTTTTTAAGTTCTTTCAAAAGGAAAAAAATGGAGTGAAAGAGTAACACTATTTTGTTGTTATAGGTAGCAATTTGAAACATGAAGACTGCGATTCTACTGTTTTATCTTCTGGGATCAACTCAGTCATTACCAGTAAGTGCAATGTGTTTGTTTTATGTATCAGCCAGCCTTAGCAGCATCTTAATTGGAGACCTATCCCTCTTCCTACCCTCTGTTAAAACCCTCTGTTAAAACTGCTCTGTTCTGTGACCCAGTCTCTTAGTTTCCTATTTTTGTTTTCCAAGGTGAAAGACAATAAACTAATAAAGTGTTAGTGCACATTTCACTGTACTTAACATGAATGCTACATTCACTCTATTGTGGGAGAATGTCTATTAATTTGGCAGAGCAATAGGGTAGAAATTAGGAGAAAACATGCCTTGGATTATATCTATTCAAAATGAATAATTACTTTCCAAAAATAATTTAAGATCTTTTTGGCAACTAATTATTTTCTAATGACTATAGAGGTAAACTAGATTTTTCTGATTTTTCCAATGGGAAGCACAAAACATCTAGATTATCTAAACTCTAAAAAGACAACCAAATAATGAAATTGCAAGGGAATATTACAAACTTTTTTGTAACTTTTGACTTAGAAGATTTCAACACAAAATGTGTTTACACGTAACAGGTTTCTGAAAAAAATGAACACTTGCATTTGAATACATACTCCAATCATCCCTCCCGCATTTTACAGACAGAGGTGGTGGTTTGGGTCTCTCAGTAGACTTCCCTTTGACTATTTGAGATGCTTGAGTGTGGACATGAAGAAAATAATTATAATAAATTTGCTATGAAATAGCAGAACACAACAAAACCATCTGAGGTGAGCGTCAAACCCTATTGACACTCGTGTAGTCATCCATACAATCAACAAATATTTATTGGGAACTCGCCGCAAACCAAAGACTGTGCTAGTTGCTGAAAAGACAGTGATGAGGGGAAAGAAAGGCATGATCCTTCATCGAGTTCACTAATATGACAGATACCAATTAATACATTTTCAAAAGAAATAGTAAATGATAAGTTATAACTATGATTAGTCCTATGAAGGCGGTGAAGAGGATGATCTTGTAGGAAGGAGATGGAACAGATATGAATAAACAACCTCCTTCTTATTTCACCCCAAATGATACTATGTCCTTGTTGAAAGAAGTTATCTGCAAAAACTCAATTTCTAAACAAGGTAAATTGAGAAATTAAACTTTTTGTAAAACATGAATTTTCCACTTTACCAAATAGATTTACCTAAATAAATATTTAGGTTCTCCTAATTAGGGTGTCTCTACAGTATTCAAATTACCATACAATTAGTAAAAACTCAAGAGAAATAAAACTTTCCAGGAGCACAGCTATCATCAAGGTAGACTGAGGAGTAGCACGCAGGTTAATGAAGATTGCTAATAACAATAACACAGGAGCAGTTGTAGTTGGTGAGGTGATACTACGCTATCTATCAAGTGATTGCCAACCGAAAAATCAGGACACGTGGATACAAATTTTTTAACTATTTGTAAGTGAATGTATTGAATTATCATAAAGGCATCAAAATGAGTCCATCTGCAAATGTGGACACTTAAAACATCCTAGTCCTTGTTTGCAGTAGCTCGAGTTTGGGAAAGGCAATGGGCAGGTTGCATATTCGGAGAGTGGGCCTCAACAAGAAAGCGAACTCAAGCAAAGATTTGAAGCAGGCGAGGGAGTGAGCCAATGTCTGGGGAAAGAGCATTCCAGACAGAGGGGGCAGGTGGAGGTGAGGCCCTGGGCAGGAGTGGGCCCCACCTGTCCCAGAGACCACACACAGCCAACGGCAGTAGTAGAGTGAGCGAGGGAAATGAAATGAAACGGAAGGTCAGAGAGGCACCGGGGGCCAGGGCATGAGGGCCCTGTCGGCCACTGCAGAGTCTCGGGCTTTTACTCTGGGTAAGAATGGAAATCAACGCAGGCATTGAGCCCAGGAGGGGAAAGACCACACTTGTTTTCACGGACCACTCTGGGCACTGTGCTGACAATAGATTGTCAGGGATGAAAAGAAATTTGCAGAATTTATACTTACATGTAAAGCTTATAGGGACCTCTAAGAACAGTTAATGTCCATTTTATCTCTTACAGCTGAGGGGGAAAGTCCAAGTGAAACCAAGAGATAGTGGCAGCTCCAGGGTAGATCCCAGAGGCACATGCTGAAGGGCCAGGACACAGGCAGAAGCACAGGTGCTCTGGGATTGGTGGCCGGAGCTCCCACCTGAGAGCAGAGCGAGTGCAGAGAGAAGCTGAGGGGAGGAGTCACTTCTAGGACCCAGAACACCTACAGGATCCTAGTACCAGCTCTGCCACTCACCTTGGGCAGGTTGCTTTGCTTGTCTGGGCCTCAGTTTCCTTATCTTTAAATAAAAACCATACAAATATATCATACGGATCGCAAGCACATTTTCACCCCTTAAATTCGGTGATTCTTCATGCACTGGGAAAATACTCTGGCCAGGAGAGGGACTTCACTTCCCTTACAGGGAGTGACTTGCCAGGCACGGGCAAAAGCAGAATGCTTCGTGAAAATGCACCAGGAATTGTGGCAGTGTACCTTCCAATATTGGGGAAGAGCCAATGTGAACAGTGCTAAGGAGCAGGCTGTGTTATTTTATGCCCTGAAAGAAGTAAGCAGCTACAGAAAAGAAATGGGAACCTAGGAACGACCACCAGAAATCCACGTGCCCTGCCCCGCATTGTCTCCCTCCCCACTGCACGCCTCCTGGGCTGGCGCATTTCCACTCTATAGTTCCATCTCCTGTCACACACAAAATGTTCTGGGACATTAAAACTGCTCCAAAACACACAGAGCCTAAAGACAGACCCTTTGCATTTGGGACAACTTGTTACATCCTGGAAATACATGGGTATAAAACCTCAAACAAATGCCTGCCTCGTCAAATATTTGTTATCACAGATGCAGCTGAACCCTGCTTTGGGACTTCCTCCAGCACAGCTGGTTCCAGATCAGACAAGCCTACTAAACCAACAGCAGCCCACTCAGGTGAGCATCCTCCGAACTGGGGCATCGCAGCCCAGCGAAGGGGCGTGGTGAGGCGAATGGGTTTGAAATCAAAGATTTACAGAGTCCCCTGACCGAACAAGAGAGAGAGGTTTTCCTTTTGGGAGAAAAGTAAAACAAGAACCAATCCTCTTTTTTGAAAAAATGAACCAAAGCATCCTCATTCTTTTTTCCTTTTGTCTGAGGAATCATTTGTTTTAGTCACCAAATCTAGGAACCTTTGAAAAGTGATTGCTACAACTGTCGACAACACTTGGTCCTCGTGATACTGTGACATGTCACATGTAGTATTTGCCAGAGCTAACAGGGATTAGGACGTAATCGATAAAAATAACTGCAGACTTCCTCAAGTTCCACTGTTGCTGATGAGCTGATGTGTCACTATAAAGTCTGTTTCTTTAAAACATATTTAAATAGTTTTGAAAACACCATTGTCTCTTGGCTACTACCCTGCTTCCCACTCCCACCCTTCCTCTGTTCTAAAGGCCCCCACCTTACCTTCACCTAGACTCTGGGAGACAATCAGATCACACCAGAGTCTAAATAGAGTAATTTTTTTCATCTATGGACATTATAAAACACAAGTCATAAGCCTGTCTCTCTCCTTAGGGAACCTGACACTCGGACAATTTGGGGATACTCTTTAAGAAAAAGAATACAAAACTAGAGATGTGAAATTAAGTACTAAAGTGAATAATTCATAATGAGATGAGAAATAAGAAATACACATTTTTTAAGCTGATAAATACCATAAACTGAATAGACTGCTCAGGTGCCTCCAGGGCCATGGAAGGGGGCAGTCCTGGTGAGAGGCACTAGAGCTTCACCTTCATTTACCTTCATGGCAAATCCACCTCTGATGGGAGTAGGCTACTTAAGGATGCCCACCAATGACAGGTTAGTGGAAACGGACAACCTCTCCTCACGCATCAATGTCAATGCCCTGCAGGTCTTCCCTTCCTTAAGTCTAATACCATTGACACAGCTGCTCACACTGGGGTCAGATCTGCAACTGGTAAGTACCCTTTTATATCATTTTAATATCCATTGTTAACTAAATATAATATCTAAGGTTGAGTGTATGTATATATGTGTATGTATCCACAAATGTACACATGCACATGTGTTCACTGTAGATCAGTTGAAAGAGGGAAGACAGAAAAGTCAGAGAGCTGAATGCTATTCAATACATCATGAACATTTTTCTTAGGCAAAGAGTCTCTAAAGGAATTATAATTTTCAAGCCTTTACTCCTTTAGTTCTTCTCACCTCTTCTCCAAGTTCCTCTCCCCCTTTCTTCACTAGGCCTCCCTCTCTGTTCCCCACAACCCCCACACACCCACTCAAACACTGTAACTGCTATCTTCACCCCAACAACAAGAGCGAAACAGAAGGATAAGAAGATTTTCTATTTCTTTTTCATAGAATCTCTGTATAGATTTAAACCATATATAGTTTAAGTTTCATTCCTGATTTTCGTGTAGTGATCAGATTTATATATAGTAATAGATCATATGCAAACCAGATATTTTATTCTGACTCTCATAATTTTCATACAGATACCTATGAAGAATCATTTCTTTGTAAGAAAATCATCAGGAAAACTCCAGAAATTGTTGCTATTATAGCCAAAAGGGAAAATCCAGGTCGAAATCACCTAAGTAGTTCTTAAAGAGAATGGGTTAAATGCCAAGGAAAAACTTAATGTGGAAAAAGTTAGAAAACATATGGTTGTACTGGCAGACTAAACAAGTTTCTGAACTTCATCTCTGTATCTAATTCTAAATGCAATATAGTATAGTATACATTTGCATAGTAAATTCTGCATGTAAACATATTTTACATTTAGTAAATACATGTTCGTTTCCTGAATGTTCAAACTGAAACAACACAATGGAAGTCTTTGCCTTACAGCTAAATCCTCCTCCAGGGATGGCACCTGCTACCCAGACCCTCCCACTGACCCTGGGGGGATTAAACGTACAACAGCAGCTGCAACCACAAGTAAGTTCAACTGCGGGACTTCAGTGACTGTTGGGGAGCATTTTCTCTCAGGTAGAAGCCTAGAAGGAGGAAAACATTTTTAAGGGTCTTAAATATTTTACCCAGATAATTTGTAGAACATGTAACTGTCTTTGACAGTTTGGTCCTTGATGAGAATCCATGAGGACACACTCGGAAAACTGAGCATGCTGCCCATAACCTCTCTAGAATGCCTTTGTAATGGGTAACAGAAAAATGGGAGGAGTTGGAGAAGATTGAAAAGTCAAAAGTATAAGGAGGAAAATTGAGAGGTAGCAGGATTCTTGTCTAGCATGTTGTGTTTTCAGCTGAAGACTTTCGGGGTGGCCAGAATCATCTCAAATTGAAATTAAGAGGTGAATAAAATTCAAATTCAGCAAATTTAATCTCCTTTTTGTGCCCTTCTATCAGGCCCCCTCAAAAGTCCTCAAGTACTTCTTAGTTCTTTTCTACTTCCCACCATCATTTACTTTCAGGGAAAACCTCAGAAAACCTTCTCACACTAAGATGTAAAGGACATAGGTTGGTCATCAAACACTTAAGAAAGTGTTTGAGCCCTGGGCGGTTTGGCACAGTGGTTAGAGCCTCAGCCTGCAGACCAGAGGGACCTGGGTTGGGCTCCCCCTAAGGGCACGTACCTTGTTTGCAGTGTGTCCTTGGCCAGGTTGATGGCAACCACTCAGCGTTTCTCTCTCTCTCTCTCTCTCTCTCTCTGTTCTTCCCTCTCTCCTTCCTGCTCTATCTGAAGATTAATGCAAAAAAAAAAAAAAGTCCTCCGGTGAGATTAAAAGAAGAAAGTGTTTGAATTTTAACTATGGACAAAGCCCAAATTTTTACCTTTTTGAAACTTCTTTAAATAGATTATTGGGCTCTGGAGGAAAATATAATGATCACTTTATGACTGAACTAAGTCATTTTGGATCATTTATTCTCCCTAACAGGTTATCTCAGCCCCGCATAATGGTCTAAATTTTTTGTAGAAGTTTTAATTTGCATTACATACATCATATGTGGTCATTATAAAGCACTTAGAAAGTAGAGATAAGTAAAACAAAAAACACATAAAATTCCATTTAACATTCGAGGGGCAACATAATCCTAATAGCCAGAATTAAAAACAGTCAGTATTCTAGGATATGTTTCTCCTGTCTTTTTTGCTATGATGTGTTAAACACATTTTTTAAAGAAAATTATGTTCTGCCCTGGCCGGTTTGACTCAGTGGTCAGAGCGTTGGCCTTCAGTCCAGAGAGACCCGGGTTCAGTTCCCGCTAAGGGCGTGTACCTCGGTTGCAGTTTATCCCCGGTCCTGGTTGGGTCGGGTTGTGCAGGTGGCAACCACTCAATGTGTCCCTTTCATGTCGAAGTTTCTCTCTCTCTCTTCCTCTCTCTCCCTCCCGCTCTGTCTGAACAAAAAATGGAAAAATGTCCTCGGGTGAGGATTAAAAATAAATAAATAAATAAAAGTTACATTTGTATTACTTTCCTCACACTGTGTGAATCTCTACAGAAATAAAAATAAATCCTAAGACCCTAGTTCTCTTTGACAAGCTCTAGGTTAGTTCTTAGAGTACTGCCGTACACCAACACCTCACCCAAATCTTTTAGACTATTTTTTGTCATGGTTATTAATCTTCACCTAAGGATATTTTTCCATTGATGTTTAGAGAAAGTGAAAGGGGGGGGGGGCATCAATGTGAGAGAGACATATCAATTGGTTACCTCCAGCATGACCCCCACTAGGGCCAGGGATCGAACCTGCAACCCAGGTACGTGCCCTTGACCGTAATTGAACCTGCAACTCTTTGGTCTGCGGCCAATGCTCTAACTGCTGAGCCAGACCAGCCAGGGCTCTCTTTGATTATAAATTCAGAATATTTACATAGCTATCGGTGATCCTTAAAATATTTCTCCATTGTAAGAGCTGCCAGTGCCAAGGATTGTTGAATAATATCATTCATAATTTCCTTCCAATTCTCTATTTTAACAGCAAAATCCAAGGCAACCATTATGAGATTAACCACAAATGCTTTAAGAAACCATTGTACTTTAAAATACCCACTTTGGTTTTACGTATCTTCTGAAATGCCATAAAACACATGCATTTTTATCACATTTTATATCATTATTTTCTGGAATAAATTTCAGTTTGGAGTTAGATTAAGACCAAAATTATTCATCAATCATCCAACTTACTAACTTCTACCTTCTAAATGTGCCGCCTTGTACTGGTTTCTAAATCTCACTGGTTTTAATCCTTTTACAAATTGGATGACTTTTTATTCCCATCCAGCTCTATGAGTCTATATCTATGATTACAGATGACACATTAGTAACAAATACTGTCAAACAAATATTGTGCTTTTTAAGAAGTTTTGACATTTATATCAGCCATCAGAACTTACCTTTGAATATATTTCTTACTTTTTTTTTTTTTTTTTCAGATGTTACCACTTATTGTAGCACAACTTGGAGCCCAGGTAAGGTTATTATGATGATTTTTGTTTTAAATCATCTTAGTGTGACATATTTAATCTTGCCTCAGAGATTCACCAGACAGTTGCCAAGTTTCCTATTTGCTTTGCCCTGTATGAACACTGATAATAACAAGAACACTTACTGAGCACTTCCTATGGGCCAGGCACTGTTATAAGTATTTTATTATTTATTATGTACTAACTCAATCCTCAAAACAACCTTTTATAGACAACATTTTATTGCCCATTTGGAGATGAGTAATTGGAGATACTCATCAGTTATAATCACAGAGTTGGTAAATGTCACAGGTAAAGCAACCAGTCAATCCTTTAAATCACACTGTTAAGAAAAAAATTAATTAATAGGGTTGATCTAATGAGTAATGATCTGGGGGGATTTATTTTTTAATTTCAAATTTATTTATTAACTACATATCCTTTCCCTAAAAAATGATACAAACATTGCCTCTTCTCTCTCCCTGTGTGTGTGTATGTGTGTGTGTGTGTGTATGCGTGTGCGCACGCGCCCGAGAATGGTAATTCTTGAGATCACTGATACAATTACAAAGGGTCAAGATCAAACATGAGCATCAGGTGGCAGCTTTTACTTCTAAAAGCAGAATCAAATATAAAATCCATATCAACTCTTAATTCCACATCTGGGAACACATACCAAGAAAATAATCTGAAATACAGTGGAGGTTTATTTACAAATATATTAATCAAAATAATATTTATAGTACAGAAAAATATTGGGTACAACTTAAATTTTAAAGAAAGGAACATAAGTAAACTGTGCAACATAAAAGCCAATACTTTGTGACGATTCAAAAGTCTGTTTATTAAAATAAATCAGCAATACGGATAAATGTTTGTTGTATAGTATGAAAAGAAAAGGTTAAGACACAAATTGTATAAATGACATGACTTCTATTACGTAAAAAATAATTGTGTGAAAAACATCTGAAAGAAAATACATCAAACTCTGCCTGATGGAATTATTTTTTCTTATTGCTTTCTGCACTTTCCAAGTTTCCTCCAATGTGCATATCTTAATAATAGAAAATATATAATTTTAAAATACGAAAGACTTCTCATCACTCAGATAATGTTAACTGTCTAATATCATGTGCTGACAAGAGTTCTGTGATACAAGTCACAAGACAGATTAAAATGTTGAAAACAAATTTTTAATCTTTTAATTTAAAACTTTTATGTTTTACATATATTGCCATGAGTATATTAAAATTTGTCTAATAATTTGTGTTATTATTTTCCTTTTAGGGTACTATCTTAAGCTCAGAGGAATTGGTAAAAAAGCATTTTAATTACTAATATTTAAAATTATTTTCAGTGCTACCACAATGCTTTTTTCTGTCCTCATATCCATAGTCTCTCTTGACCGCAAACCATAAATTTAGTGTCTGCTACAATAAATTAAACATTTTTATAGGTCTTTGCTTTAGGTTATCATTTGTTTAGTTGGGCTTCTAGCTTCATTCTCTAGCTACTTTTCCATTGATTTGACTTAGCTTTTGTTTTCTGTATATTGATGTCAAATTCAGGTCTATGCAGAAAGGCAATGCATATTTTTAACTTTATATTAATTAAAATCTAAAATTATAAATTATTGAAATGTATGCAGATATAGAATTACATATACTGATATTTTATTGCAGGAAAGATTAATTTCCTTGACTTAAATTTTTAATTTGTATAGGAAATTATATTATTTCTTCTGGTGTTTTACAGTGATGAAGGAACTCTTCCTTATACACATGAAGAACTAAAGGGCTTAACCTAAATAATACTCCTATTATCATTACTGGGCTCTTCTATGCATTTTCCCTAAGTCATTTTTAGAGAAAAATGACTTGAATTAACGTGGTATCTAAACATGACACTGAAATTATTAATTGAGGCAATATCTGGGAAACAGTGTTGTTGTTTTTTCTATTATGAAAAATAGATTGCTAGATTGTCCATACATAAAATAATGGGACTGTTTTGCCAACATTGATACATGAACACCTACGTCTACCAGTTTTTGAGCCAATTCTATAGAACAGGCACCTCAGGTAACCTTTTACATACATTGGCTTTAATCCTCACCAAATTACAAAGCAGAAATTTTTTTTTTTTTTTTCAGATAGAGTGGGAGGGAGAGAGAGAGAGAAACATCGACGTGAAAGGGACACATCAAGTGGTCGCCACCCACACAACCCAATCAGGGCCGGGGACAAACTGCAACCGAGGTACGTGCCCTTAGCAGGAACTGAACCCTGGTCTCTCCAGACCTCAAGCAGACACTCCAACCACTGAGCCAAACTGGCCAGGGTCAAAGCAGAAATTTTTAACCCAAATTTATAGATTAAAAAACTGAGGCTCAGAGAGCAAATTAGGTCCCAAGGTGAGAAACAGATCAAAAGCCATTTTTCTATCTAGCCAGGGTTCTTAAACTTTTTTTAGTGAAACCCACAGTAACAGCTATATTTTTTATGCAGTGAACACATACACAGACACACACACACATTTCATAAAACTCTATTTACCCTCAGTATATGGAATACACTAGATAATTCATAGTCTACATAGGCTATTTATTTTGTCTTAATAATGATGGGAGCGACTCACATTCTTTATTTCAAGCCTGTGGATGTCATGACCCCCAATTTGAAAACGTCTCTGTTCTCCTCCTGTCTCTCATATAACATAAGTTTAATTCTGGCTTCAATACCTCATAAATCTACAACAGAGTTTCCCAATCTTCAGTCCTAAACCTCAAATCAGGACAACTCAAAATGCTGGTTAAAAATGCGGGTTTCTGCCCTCAACCTACTCAATCAGAATCTTTCTAACCATGGAGCCCAGGAACTTGCCTTTGTAACCAGTTCCTCGGGTGGTTCCTGTGAAGCTAACCAGGAAAGTGACCTGTATCTCAGCGCGCTTGGCCCTTTTACTCCATGAGAACGCCGTCAGAGCCGGGAGGACCCGGAGAACTGGTTCCGTCCGAACGCCCTCCAAAGCCAGCCACTGTCGAGTTCTTTCTTCTGGGGGGGAACTTCTCCCAGTGATTTTTTTTTTTCCCCAGAAAAGAAAATTAAAAGTGTGGCAGCAATAGCATTCATTACGAGTGTAAGAATCATAGACAGTCCAATGCGAGTTCCCGTGGGTAACCCCAAGGCACACACTGGTGGCTGAATTAAGAGAAATCTTTCTGACTGAATAGTCCACTGTCTTTGAAAAATACATCAAATGATACATGAAAGGATACAAACCATGAGATGAGGGTTGATTAATCTACTTGAATTAATTTTGCCCATTTATTTTTTTAGTCTCTTAAATTACTTTTTTAAAAATTATGGGCAGCCCTGGCCAGTCTGGCTCAGCGGTTGGAGGGTCGGCCTGCGGACCAGGGAGTCCCGCATTCGGTTCCGCTGGGGGCAGTACCTCGGTTGCAGTTTGTCCCCGGCCCCAGTTGGGGTTGTGTGGGTGGCAGTCAGTCCATGCGTCTCTCTCACATCGATGTTTCTCTCTCTCTCTTCCCCCTCTCTCCCTCCCTCTCTATCTGAAGATAAATGCAAAAATGTCCTCGGGTGAGGAATAAATAAATAAATAAATAAATAAATAAATAAATAAATAAGAGCAAAAGAAAGCTATGGTTCAGGTTACTAACATAGATGTCGCCTGTTGTAATTGGATAGATTTTCTGCCTGAGTCCTACCTCCAGATACACCTGATATTAGCAAATGATGCATCGTTCCTCTTCCGGCGACTGGCTTGGCCGCGCCTTCCCTTCCTGCGGGAGTTGGCGCACAGGAAGGGATCTCAGAGATGAAGCCAGCATCAGGCTTAGCTCAGGGAGGAGGCATCTCCTCTGAGGAGTGCCCCATCTTTATGATTTTCTCTCACTCTACCTTTTCCACCCTGCCTTTCCTACCCAAACTTGCTGTCCTCAAAGGAAGAGATTAACCAAAGAATTCCTATGCATAACCCATGGACACAGACAACAGTGCAGTGAAGGCCTGGGGTGGGGGTGTGGGAGTGGGGTGGAGGGGGTCAGTGGGGGGGAAAGGGGGAAATATGTAATACTTTCAACAATAAAGATAAATTTTTAAAAATAATATTAGAAGAAAGAAGAAAGGCTGGTTGACGGGCCTTTAAAGTGTATTCCTTTAGCTCTGCTTTCCGTCTCCTTCCCTCACTCCAGCCCGTGACGCCGCACATCTTCACAGGCCTCATCCTGCAGCCTTTGTTCTCCGGAGCCATCCTGCCCACCAGCCAGGCTAATCCAGAAGTCCAGAACAGAATCCTTCCTGCAGGACAAACAGGAGTAAATCCTGCCATTCAGGGAACCCCAGAGAACCCCTTCCCGACTCCCAGTGGCACAGATGATGACTTGGAAGTGACCACCCCCGCAGGCATCCAAAGGGGCATGCACATTTCTGAGGAAAGCACCACGGGGTCCCCACATGGTACGTTGTCCCAGCCAGAAAAATGCCCCTGGGTCATGAAAGCAGAGTGGGAGAGAGGAGTTCTTTGTCTTGGTGACAAACACAGATCTTAATGAAGTAAGGGCGCCCCTTGACTCACTAGCAGAGGACTGCAGCAATGCGAGGGAACACTGTTACCAGGCCACCTGTCGGCTGGACCCAGAAAAGAGACATTTAATTGCATAACATACTTTCGATCTTAGGTCGGAGCTGGAGATATTTGGAAACAGGTTGCACTCTCCTTTTCCCATCTCAGACACACACAGCCCCACAGCAGACACAGTTAATCAGTCATGATACTCTTTTCCATCACTGATCATGGATGAGCCTCAGAACCTCCTGAACCTAATGCTGCAAGAGCCACTAGCAACACACTGCGTGGGCACATAGACGCTCCGTGTGCCATTCTCCTCGCTGGGACTTAAGAAGTGTTGCAAAAATAAGCTCTTCTAGTGCGAACAAGCAAAGATAATAGATTAACAAGTGTGGATGTCTACAACCAAATGTCCTTGGTGATAACAAAAGAACAATTTGATATAGATACTCTTGCTCCTAAAAAAGGAATTCTGATGTCAAGTAAAAATGCTTAAATTCAATATGCTTTGACCTAATTTAAAAAGTGTTTTCTTTTCTTCCAGGAATTTAGTAAGCTGTTGCAACTGTTTTCAACTAAACAACCTTAAGTATGGTGATACATGGAAGTCCTTGTCATTGGATCATATTTCGGAAAAAAATGAGACACACTGGAGAATTTCAGAAGAAATTAATTCTTCGTTAACTAAAAACTTCAGAAAACATTCTTCCTAGAGAATACTGAGTTCTGAAAAAGAATTAATTATTCTTAATTATGATCTGTCTTTGAAATGTAACATTATGCCATCTTGGATATGGAAGATACATACATTAAAACATACTTTGAAAACTGATTTCTTCTTCTTTGGGGATAGAAGAAAGTTAGACCCTTTCAGGAGTGACTCTCGGACTTGCACTGTTTGGAAGTAGGTGGTGCTGTAGCCACAGGAGAGGATATCCAACAATGAAAGGAAATTTTCTGATTTCCTCACAACCATCTTATGACTTACTCTCTCTCATAAGAGCTACAAATTTAATTTTTGATCATCTAAAATATACAGTGGAAACAAAGAATTGTGAATCATATTGTTTATCCTCAAGCTACATACATGCGGAGCTAATGGTTATGGTGTTTCATGTTTGATTTTGATATGTCTGAGAGTGAGAAATGACAGTGATAAAAGTTGTTATTAAAGGAGATACTCCTGCTTCTTACACCTAAAAGGTAGAATTGAATCTGATTTAAATTTTTAACCTAGAGCATGACAATTCACCCAGAGTGGGAGAGGGTGAGAGATTAGCACAAACTACACTATGGCCCCTACAAATGAAAGATATGGATAGGTTTTATAACAGATATACATTCCACGTGAAGTTTTCAAGGAGCTTAAAGATTTATTAGCAGTTGAAGAGTTGCTAGTCACAGTAGTTCAGATTTGCTGCCTGAGGGAACCTAAGACTTTCTGAAGGCTACAGGCACAGATGATTTTAAGGGTGCAATTTCCATTATTCACTCCTACATACGTGCTTTCCTAAGACAGAGCTGCCTGAGAACATGTTCTTTTCTTCTACTTCCTTCATAGTCACTCTTCCCACATCACAAAGAAAGATAGTCTCATCTATCACTGATCACGCCGTGGAAAACTGCTCTGTCATAGAAAACCTCGAGGATGCAAAATAAAAGAAGAATCTCTAATATTGGCACTAGTGTTGAGAATGAGAAAGGCCTTTTGCAACTTTGGTGGTTTCTTGCTCTTAGCTTTCAACAAAATTAAATGAGGACCTACTAGAGTTATCAGGTGATTCATCATTGAAACAATTTTGTGGTAGAAATGAAAACTAAGAAATTTAAAATTTTTAGTCGTTACTTTATTCTGAAATATCAATAATACATAAGTTACATGTTAATACAAAAACATTCTTTTTAATAATTTTTTTCTGTATTGATTTTTAGGGAGAGGGAGAAAGAGAGAAACATTGATGAGAGAGAACATCAACTGGCCGCCTCCTGCATGCCCCCCACTAGGGATTTGGCCCACAACCTGGGCATGTGCCCTGACCGGGAATTGAACCAGCGACCTCCTGGTGCATGGTTTGATGCTCAACCCCTGAGCCACACTGGCAACATACTTTTTAAATTAAATATAACTTTTTAAAATTTTGGTGAGGATGCATAAATTTAATTAACAAAAAATAACTCACTTGAGCTCATAGGCATAAATGTGAACTGCAAAGTGATAAAATTCCTAGAATGTAACAGGAGAAAATCTAGGTAGCTTTGGATTTGGTGACTTTCTAGATACAACACCAAAAGTACTCTTCATTAGAGAAGTAAATTGGTAACTTGGAGTTCTATTAAAATTAAAATGTTCTGCTCTGCAAAAGGCAGTGTTAAGAAAATGAAAAGACAAATTATAGACTGGGAGGAAATCTTAGCATAACAGATCTGATAAATAACTAGTATTAAAAATATACAAAGATGCCCTGGCTGGTTTGGCTCAGCTGTTGGAGCGTCGGCCTGCGGTCCAGAGAGATCAGGGTTCGGTTCCCGCTAAGGGCGTGTACCTCGGTTGCAGTTTGTCCCCGGCCCTGGTTGGGTCGTGCGGGTGGCAACCACTCGATGTGTCCCTTTCACATCGATGTTTCTCTCTCTCTTCCTCTCTCTCCCTCCCACTCTATCTGAACAAAAAAACGAGAAAATGTCCTCAGGTAAGGATAAAAAAATAAAAATAAAAATATACAAAGACTTTATAAAATTCTACAAAAGCAAACAACACAGTTTTCAAATGGCAAAAAATATGCAAACACCTCACCAAAGAAGACATAAGGATGGTAAATAAGCATATAAAGAAATGTTCAACATTATATGTGACTGAGAAACTGAAAATTCAAAAAACAATGAGATACTACTACACACATGTTGGAAAGCTAAAACCTACAGCACTGACAAATGCTGGGAGGAGGAGGAGCAACCAGAACTCTCATTCATTGCTGGTGGGGATGCTAAATGATACAACCACTTTGGAAGGCAGTCTGCAGTTTCTTAGAATCCTTAGCATACGCCTACCATATGATTCAACAATCATACTTCTTGGTATTTACCTAAATGAGCTGAAAACTTATGTGCACATGAGAATCCACATACAAATGTTTATAGTTGATTTACTCACAATTGCCAAACTTGGAAACAACCAAGATGTCCTTCAATAGTTGAATGGATAAACAAATTGTGGTATACCCACACAGTGGAAAATTATTCAAGCCATGCATGAACAATCATATTGTTAAGTAAAATAAGCCAACCTGAAAAGAACATATACTGTATGATGCCAGTGAGATGACATTTTAGGAAAAGCAAAACTGTAGAGACAGTAAAATGATAAGTGGTTGTCAGAGGTTCCAGAGGAGGGAGGAATGTATAGGTGAAGCACAGGGGATTTTCAGGGCAATGAAATTATCCTGTATGATACTGAAATTATAGATACACATCATCATACATTTGTCAAAACCCATAGAATATACACATAAAGAGTGAACCATAATGTAAACTATGAAATTTAGTTATGAAAATGGTATCAGTATTGGATCATCAATTTTAACAAACATACCAGACTAACGAAAGATGTTAACAATAGGATTACCTGGGGAGAGAGGGAAAGGAGATAAAGAGGAACTCTGTACTTTCTTTTCTGTTCAATTTTTCTATAAACCTAAAACTAATTTTAAAGTACACAATTTTTTAAAGATAGAAAAATAGTGGATTGTATTTTAAAATATTAGCCCACAATGTTTGCAAATTGGTATAGTTTGCTAGAAATAAGAGCTGAGATAGAAAATGTTGCCCCCTAGTGGTTGTAAAACCAAAAAACTAAAAGTGTAATGAACAGGCTGGAGCCATGGAAGACAGATGCAGTCCCTTTAGAGGCACCAGGTACTTCTAGGAGTAAAATAAGCCTCAAATCTAATAGCCATCCATAAATCTAAATGAAAATTCAAGTATCCAGGAATAAGGGTTATAGAGGACAGCATTTAAGCAAAATCAGAGAATATATGAACAAAGTGCATATGTGATGAATGCCTTATAATACCATGGGGGGTGGCACAGAGGAAGGAAAGCAAATTCTATAACTCTTCCAATGGTCTTAAGTACCCCCTGGGTAAGAAGGACTCTGAAGGCCAGGTAAAGAAGGCCATAAAAATGCAGGCTTATCCTCCCAACGAAATACTGGCAGACCTGCCCAGTAGGCATCTGATCTGTTAGAAGCCATATTCAAGCAACTCAATGACACTAAGCAAACGCAAGGTGATTATCTTTGATAGCATGTCCAATACTGTTTCTAAAAATATTTTGTGGAAACAATTAGGGTGAGAGACTATTTTTGTTTGTTTCCCCCAAGAGCCTAGGGAACAACAATCTGGATCATCTTAATCCAATTTTAAAAATTGATATTTTTCTGAGTCACTCAGATAATAGGGCTATAATGGCCCCAAATGCTAAATTTTCCTCACTAGAGTTTCATCCCCTCTTGGATCTTGGTGTAGTAATTTCTAATTATCTAATTAACTTTTCTCATATATATATATATATATTTAATTCAGCTTTTTAGTTGTCTTGAGCAATGGGAATGAGTCCAAGTGACTTAACATACCATGTTTAAAACCAGAAGTCCATTCCTGATCTTTACTTTTAACCCATTCCACAGTACCTTTGGCAGGGGGATACTATATCAACAACCAGAAGGTATAAAGTGTTCAAGGAATTGGTTGGCCCCAGTACCTGATGGTTCCCTGAAACTATGAATGTGGATGCTCAGCCCCTGTTGCTCCAGCTGGGGCTTAGTTGCTGATTCTGATGAAGCAGGAACGGCCCCACCTGGTGCCTGGGCACACTATGTCAAGTATGAAGTGAT